TTTCCCTTGTGTCTTTTACTTAGAATCACAGAAAATTAGGGTTGGAAGGAACATCCAACCAGGAGGTCATCTGGTTCACTCCCCTGCTCAAAGCAAGACCGTCCCCAACTATATCATCCCAGCCAAAGCTTTGTTTAGTAGGGTCTTAAAAACCTCCCAGGATGGATACTCCGACGCCTCTTGTGTAACCTGTTCCAGTGCTTTTTCACCCTCTTAGTAAGAAAGTTCTTCCTAATATCTAACCTAAAATTTCCTTGCTGCAACTTGAGACCATTGCTCCTTGTTCTGTCATCTGCCACCACTGAAAACAGTTCTCAGTGAGCTCTGAATCTAGCTCCATTTTCTTCATCAGGTGCCTGGAGGTGTTCCCGATCCCTGCCTCCCCTTACTTGTGCGCTTTCTACTCAAGGCAGATTGATTTTGTTATTTTTAAATGGCTTGGAGAGGGAGTGGGTATGTGTGACTTCAAGGGGAAAAGTGTCTGTATGGCTGGCTTGGAAGGGGAGTGTGTGTGAGTGTGTATGGGGCAAGGTTGGCTTGGAGGAGGAGGAGGAGGAGGAGGAGTGTGTGTGGGTGTGTGTGTGTGTTACAGTCACACAAATAGAGAGAGAGACAGACAGACAGAGAGAAACTATGGCTTGGAGGCTGAGAGTATGTGTCTATAACTTGGAGGGAGAGTGTGTGTGTGGCTTGGAGGGGAAGTGTGTGTGAGTGCAGTAGAAAGGGAGTGTGTGCGCATGTGTGTATGTATGTGTGCGTGGTTCTAGGTGGGGAAGTTGATGTGTTTGTGTGCATGTGTGTAGGCATATGGTTTGGAAGGGGAGTGTGTGCGTGTGTGGCTGGGAGGGGGAAAGTGTGTGTGTGTGTCTGTGTGTGTGTGTGCATGTGCGCACGTCCATGCATGCAGCTGGGAGGAGGGGTGGGGGGGTTGGAGGGGAAGTGTGTGTGTGTGTGTGTGTGCGCGCGCGCGCTTCTTGGTGAAGAAGTTTGTGTTTGTGTGAATGTGTGTGAGCGCGCGCGCGCGCGTGTGCACGTGCTTGCGTGCAGCTGGGAGGAGTGGGGGGGAGTGTGTGTGTGCACGCACCTTAGAAAGGATGTGTGCGCGCGTGTGTGTGCGCTTCTTGGGGAGGAAGTTGGGGGGGGCGGGGCTCTGGCTTGTGGCGGG